AGATGAGGACAATAGTCCGAATAATATAAACAGTGTACATAATACCTCATCTCAGAAATATAGACAGATACTGAAAAGCCGAAACGTTGTAATAAATATGGCGACAAAGATGAGGACAATAGATGATATAAACAGGACAATAGACAGATACTGAAAAGAATAAATATGGCGACAAATAGTCCGAATAATATAAACAGTGTACATAATACCTCATCTCAGAAATATAGACAGATACTGAAAAGCCGAAACGTTGTAATAAATATGGCGACAAAGATGAGGACAATAGTCCGAATAATGTAAATAGTGTACATAATACCTCATCTCAGAAAATATAGACAGATACTGAAAAGCCGAAACGTTGTAATAAATATGGCGACAAAGATGAGGACAATAGTCCGAATAATATAAACAATGCACATAATCCGAAATATAGACAGATACTGAAAAGCCGAAACGTTGTAATAAATATGGCGACAAAGATGAGGATAATAGTCGAATAATATAAACAGTGTACATAATACCTCATCTCAGAAATATAGACAGATACTGAAAAGCCGAAACGTTGTAATAAATATGGCGACAAAGATGAGGACAATAGTCCGAATAATATAAACAGTGTACATAATACCTCATCTCAGAAATATAGACAGATACTGAAAAGCCGAAACGTTGTAATAAATATGGCGACAAAGATGAGGACAATAGTCCGAATAATATAAAAAGTGTACATAATACCTCATCTCAGAAATATAGACAGATACTCTAAATTGTTTCAAATTAGTTCAAAGGAGTCCCATTAAATCTGAAAATAAATAAATCTCCATATATCTTTTATTTTTATCAGGGACGCAAGGTTAGAGGGTCATTGGTGTGTATGTGTGTGTGTGTGGGGGATTCTAGTCTTGGGGCCCCGGGGCTGCAGCCTATAATAGCCTAAATGTAAATCCGGCACTGTCTATATCTTTCTGAGATAATTTAGTCGACATGCTTATATGACACTTATATTAAGTGCACACTACTCCTCTTAAAGATATGCACTTAGTATAAGCGTCATATAAGCGTGTCCACTGAGTTATTACTATTGAGAAGTGAGTTAAATCCTGATTGGCATTTTTCTAAGGTAAGCTTAGTAGATATAACTATTTACTAAGTTTCCGATTTAAATGAAATTTTCTGTACTTATTCATCAATGAATTAATTGCATATTGGAAAGTTTATTTTAGAAAAATTTATAGAAATATTTTTGGGAATCATTTCCCACTATTTCGATGTGTCCTGAGTACTTTTAAATTTGTAGGAGTGTCATGAATTTTGTTTACAGTTATATAAACAAAAATCCCTTAAGACGCAATTTCAGTAAACGTTGATAGATTATCAACCGTGAACATCCTGAATATTTGTCCAGAACTTTTACTAAAAATAATACATGAAAACTCAAAAAATATTTTTATTGAGATAATGCATAATTTAATAAAACATTTGTTCAGATTTGACAGGAAAAACTACTTTTAATATTTATCTTTGAAAAAAATTTAATTATTTGGTGCGATTTTGAAATTTATCTAGATGATCTTAGCGACAACAGATCGTTTTTTTAAATAAAGAAAAATTTAAGCCTTAATGTTCGAATGTGGACATTTTTTCAACGAAATTTATTTTACAATATTATCAAAATTTTTTTAAATTTTTTAAGGAAATAATTCAATAATTCTGTGACTGTAGTCAAGTAACAGTATCCATTCAATAACCCATTTTTGTCTTTTATTTTAATATTTTATAAAATTAGAATAATAAAAAAAAACCTCATTGGGTGCAAATAAATATTTTATGACATTAAATAGGTAAGAAGAAGCTAATAAATATAATGCAATTAGCAAAAATCAAAAGAATCGTTTAACTATTTTTTTAATTTCTTTTTTATATTCTTATTGTAGGATAATAAATAAAATGATTCATTCTACTAGATTTTATAAAAGAGCATATATATATATATATATATATATATATATATATATATATATATATAAGTATTAGTTATATACTGTTAAAGCAAATTTATTTTTTTAAACATGAACAATACCAGTTTGCAGATTCTTGCAATTTTTGCCCTCCGTACTTTTTCTTTTTGAAGCTGGAAGGACAATAGAAGTTTATCTATAACCATGATGATAGCTTACAGTTTATTGGCGCAATAAAAACATTATTTTCGCTGTTTTAAGTAAGAATTAAGTATTATTTCTTAATTTGTTTTAAAAATGTCTAAAAACCTTATTTCAATACGTAATATTATTTTTCTATCTTTTTAGATTAAGCTTTAGACATTTACCTTTCAAATAAAACCAAAATTTAACTCCAGATAAGACATTTGAATTATTTAAAATGCATTTCTATTTTTTTTTTTTAGTAATTCTATGGTAGCACTTATGATTTCGTGAGTATTTCAAGGTTTATTTACATTCAGAAAAGAAACGGGCTTTTTCTTTTATTTTTATAGCATAATGCAAAATAAACAGTAAAAAAATAATTTACATCGATGAAAAAGTTTTCAAAATGTTTTTTGTGCAATGCTATGGAAATCTTAGAAGTGTCTTTTCAGTTTACGCAGCACTTTATTGCTGTGTATGCTTACTCAATTGACAGAAAAGCGATAATTTGACTTTATTTTGGTAAAACATAATCGCAGAATATAATATGACTACGCAATTTTTTATCGTTCATGTTAAACATGGACGATAAAAAAAAGACCGTTAGAAACGAGGCAATGGATCATTGAAACATATGGAAATGATACAAAAAGTGTTATTTTGCACATATTTAAATTAGCAGCTTTGGAAAATTCGGATTAGAAAGACGAACTCTATAGATTTAAAATAAATAGTTTGTTCCAAATTATTTTTTTCCTTTTCTCCGAAACTTTATTAGTCTCAACAACGTAGATAATATTAAACTTATACTTATTAAAATATGAATATAATAATATAATATACTAATAATAAATAATATAAAATAACATTAATAGTTATATACTAATGTTATTAATGATAACATCAACAATATAAAATATGATTCAATAATAATATTAAATCAATATGCATGGGCCTGTGTGCAAGAGAGAGAGAGAGAGAGATAGAGGGAGAGGGGGAGAGAGAAAGCGAGAGAAAGAGAGAGAGAGAAAAAGAGAGAAAAAGAGAGAGGAATCAATGTCTGTAGACTTTTTTTATTATTGCTCACCTAATACAAGGCCGAAGAGCCACTCAAGGTAGAGGGTTACTTTGTGTATATATACTAGCGTAGGAAAGGACAAGCGTTAAGGACATAGAGCTGAAGCAGACTTTAGAAGGAACCGGAAATCCAACCCTAAACAGGAAACAAAAGAAAACCCTCTACTTCTGTTCAAAAGACCGGGGGGGAGTGTTAACCGGGCATCCGGCGAACCTATCTACTCCTACTGGTGATGGAGAGAGAATTAAAATGAAATAAATAGTTAGTGAATACAATTTCACAGTTCAAGCGCAGGGATGAGATCTGAAGCAAACTTTAAAATGAACCGGAAACGCAATCCTAAACAGGAAACAAGTGATAAACTTCTACTTCTCTGAGGATGAGTGTGAACTAGACGATAGACAAACTTATCTACTCCTATATAAATATACAATGAAAAGGATTGTAGTTCTACAGGAAGGCTGTAAAATAATCGATTGATTTATTGTTTCTATTTCAACGGCGTATCAACCCATTACAGGTTATTTAACATTTTTCGACATTATTCGTTACACGACCCGCACATCCCAGCTTACAAGATCTGCTATTCCGAAATGGCCACTCTTCTAGGTACTGACCAGGCTCAACGTTGCTTAACTTTGATTACCGTACGGGAACTAGTGCTTCAACTTGATGTGGCCATAAGCTTAGCTGTAAAATGAATTGGCAGGAATTTTGTATTTAAGATCAAAAGCATCACAAAGAGTAAGATCAATAACCCGATCAATTCTAGAAAAATAATATTCTGTTTAACAAGAATAAGGGTTAAAATAATGAATGATTTAAATGCTGATTTTCAAGACACGTACATCTCTTTAGTCAACTATCGTCAATACTCATTCCAAGTGCAGTTTAGCGGACGCCAATTGAAAATGAATTATCAGTCTTCTCTATATAGAATGTAGATCTGAGGAAGGCCGTAGAATATATTGGCTAAAATATTGTAGTAAGAACAAAAACAACCAAAAGAGTAAGACATTAGTAGTCTTCTCCATACAGAGTCTAGTCCTTGAAATCTTCGGTGTATAATGTTCGATCTACGTGGTTTGTATTGTAATCAAGTGCAGTGACACGGAATCAAGATACTTTTGGCCCAAGATCATTAAATTGAGAAATACACATTTCTCATGTAAGATAAAGGTGTTTTTTCCTTAGTGATATATAAATATAAATATATATATATATATATATATATTATAAATTAATTGATTTAAAATATGTTTTTTTTCGCTACACAGTTCGAACCATGTTTCAAAAATGGAAGCTAAAAGCTCCGAATTTAATTTTGTAATTAAATTAAAGACATTAGTTCCATTTCATCCTCAAGCGAATTTTGGAGCAACTTTTAAAATTACTGGGTTTTAAAGACACAGCTAAAATCATAATATTAATGCTCTGTAAATTTACATTGACCACTATTTTGTAAAAATAAAAATATCTGTAAGAACACCGGATTATATATCTTATGTTCTTTATTTATATATATATATATATATATATATATATATATATATATATATATATATATATATATATATATATATATATATATATATATAAAAAAGCACAGCGGCTCAAAATTTTCCTGCAAGAAGGGACGTAGGTTCGAACCGTGCCGAAGAGCACATCCTCTTTATTAAGTCACTCGAATGCACATACCGGTAGACGTCATTCACACTGTTAAAAAAACCCCCCAAAAACCAAAAATATGGCATTGACTCAAACATGGCGTATGAGCTTACGGACATATCACATTAAAACACCGGTTCCCATAGGATCACCAAAGTTAAGCATGCCGAGCCTAGATAGTACCAAGATGGGTGAATGCTTGGGTAGAACATAGGTTGTAAACTTGGATGTACGGGGTTTTTATTAGATATTGACTCGGAATTGTTATCTGAGAGGCTGAGTTCCAGTTCCTTTATATTCACTTATGAGTAAATACCTTTGGGAAAAGTATGGTTCCATTTCTTTTCCCTCCAGCTATGCTTTATTTAGTAAGATTGTATTACTAAATCATTATTAATTTTAAAAAAATCTTAAAATCTAAATAACTTTTCTGACTTTAAATGGCCTGCAAAGAGTTGATAAGCCGTCAAAAAGAAATCAATCAATCAAACATTGGCGTCCACAAAAATAAAGTTTGGGTTAGTTGGAAATAATATCGGATAAAACAGTTTACTTAGAACACACACATATATATGTGGACATTTTTATGTTTATACATTCTTTTTTATAGATACAAATATTTAAGTAAATGCTCTGTTTATAATAAACAGCATTAGCAACACATACAGGCTTGAATGTCCGAGAAATTGTCATAGAAAATATGTGTCCTCCGACAGGAATCGAACCTGTATTCTATACGGAACCGTCATATAGCCTGACGTGCCTTTACCGATTGAGCCACAGAGGAGCGTTCGGTTAGCAAGGTCGATTTTACTGTTTTTAAACTACAATCTTCCATGATTCTCTCACGTACATTCATATCTGCTCGATGCGTATCCAAATGTAAAGAAATGACGTCACACATGAAATGGACAAAGTTCGACAATTATTTTTAGATATTTTTATGTTTATACATTCTTTTTTATATATACAAATATATATTTTGCTCACTGGGGTAGACTGTTCTAGTTCCACGTGCCATGTTTAATGGATATCAGTTGTCAGTGATCTCCTGTTAATTCCTCTCTCCAAGTTCTCCACTGCCTTAACCGGGTATTGAACTCACACTCTTTGGGTCCTGTCACTGGATCTAACTAACGCCTTTATCCACTGTGCCATGTGTCCTTGAATAAAGGGTTCAGTTCGACATTCCAACTACCTGAAGAAGGTCGGAGCGTACAACGGCCGAAACGTTGTAATAAATATGGCGACAAAGATTAGGACAATAGTCCGAATAATGTAAATAGTGTACATAATACCTCATCTCAGAAATATAGACACGAATCTATTTCTTGTTAGCAGTTAATATATTTCAGCCTTGAAATTAGCTAAATGTATAATCGAAAGCGTTCGGATAAAAACATTTAGACAGTTTTTATATAATTTATCTACTGAAAAGAAAAAAAAATATAGGATCACATGAGAAATTGTATAAAAATCTTAATCAAAGCACCTTGTCTGTCATATTTAATGAAACATGCATTAAAGAAGGATTGCTGCCTAAATGCATATTATATATATACGCATACGCATTGCTTTTTTTTTAACAGTGTGAATTATGTCCACCAGCCCGCTCATTCGAGAGATTTAATAAAAGAAAACATTATCCCCGGCAAGGTTCGAACGTGAGCCCTTTTTTGTAGGCGAAACCTACTCTATGGTAGCACCTAAAATACACGAGTGGGAACACTTCACAATTAAACACTCACAAGAGAGGAGAGGGTAGTCTCGCTCAAGCGCTGCAGATAGAGAATGTAAGTTCAACCTTTCGGGTGACGCGGTTACAAGGCGGGCTTTCACACACTGGCTAACGGGACATTTAAGCTCGCTGCTGCCTTGAATTCTACGAGTTGTTTTCCATCCTGGCAATGTAGCATCTTTGGCTTCAAATGAAAAACATTACAAAACAGTCATTGTAGTTTCTGATGTACCGGATGAAGTATTTTGATTCAGTTGAGTTCCTATCCAAAAGTGATAGCAATGGCTCTGGAGAAACTGGTAGATATTCCAGCTGTATTTTTCCTTTGTTACAGCACATCCCATTTGGTTTATTCTTGAATCTGAGAGTAATACAATGCTTACACTGAATGATCGTTGATCTAATAGATGTCTTTGGACAGGGCCGGCGTGTCTTACCCCCGATCGGGCGGCGCGATTTCTGCTATTTTTCAGAACTATTTTATGGCCATCCGCCATTTTTTGAATTATTTTTAAACTGACTAGCCATCAACTAATAATATACTTCGTATATCTGCATGGTCGGTGAGGTACGTCCTCTGCAGGAAACCTTGACAAAATTGGAGCTCCAAAATGGCTAGTTTCAGCAGGGCTTTTTTAAAAAAGATTTTTGTAATTTTTACTTTTTTTCTACCTAAGTTATATTGTCAATCATCAACTATAACAATCGACAGGGCCGGTGCTTACTACCCTGAACCTCTCGAGTGGGGGCCCCGTGCCTACTGGAGAGTGGGGGTGCAGAAATGCTAATTTCAGTAGCGTTTTTTTTTTTTTAATGTAATTTTCTTTCTGAACAGTTCTTTTAAATTAATTATGAAGGTAATATATCCTGGTAAAATTATTTTTATTCCGAGATCATCTTCTAAGGAGGATCTTAGATTTATTTTGCCAATAGTAATACTAACCTGAAGTTCACGTCTAGTAATAAAAATAAAATTTCTAGTCCCTATTTTTTACATTTCTAGAAAGATAAAACCGAGAAAATGATTGCTTAAAAAATAAAAATATTAAAAATTTTTCCCGAAAACTGAAATACTATTTTTAAAACAAATTTTTAAGACAATCCCGTTTGTATTGTGTTGGAATCTTTGTAAAATTCTTTTTTTCAGCTGAGATGAATCAGCGATTAATCTTTATAGAAATACTAGCAGCATGTTGTCCGTGCTTGATTCAAAAATTGTACGACTCATACAGCAATCGCTATCACTTGACTTAAAATATTTTTGCCCTTCCTTGCCTTTAAAGGAGTGCCTTTTGCCGTGCTGATGTTGCTACATGCCTTACTTCTTGCCTATCTCACACTGAGAATTTTTTCTAAGCTCTATACTAAATATTAAATCTGTTACGAAAAAGAACTAAACAAAATGAACACAAAACGATCAGCTTTAAAAAAGGACTCGTAACTGGAAAAACCGAATGAAAAAAGAATGTTAACAACAAATACTTTTTCACACTAACACAGTTCTGCGGAATCAGAATCAACGTTGACTTTAAGCAAGCAAATGAGCCAATTGGAGTAAAGTGCTATGCAGATTTAAATTTTTCCCACTTGTGACGTATGCAGCTATCAATTTTTTTTGCATGCTAGTTAAGATTCGTGTCAGTCAGCTTTTGGCTCTCACGCTGGCCAATAGAATCTTCCTGCCTTTTCGTGGCAGCCAGCTATAGGCTCTCACCCTGACCAGTACAAAATGGCCGTAAACTACATGAAACTGCCGTTGAAGCATGAAAAAAATCGATTATTTCCCCTATCGATGGGAGTTGGAAAATGCAATGTCGGTCTTGGCCTTCCCGCTAACTTGGAGCATGTGCATGTAAATTTTGGTGCAAATCCGTCGAAAATTGCGGCCGTGCATTCGTTACACATATACACGCATCCTGCCTTTTATAGATAGAGATAAAAATTTGAGATTTAGCATTTTTTCGAATAAAATTTGGTCATGAAAATATTGGTGTTTATTACAAAAGCAACATTTTCTCAGATTTTTTAAAATACAAAAACCTATTCATTCTAAAAGTAATTAATGGATACGTACTGAAATTTTAATTTAAATCGAATAATTCCCTGATTTTTGATAATTTAAAGAAAGCTCTTCCCTCCCCCACCAATTTTCCTTCTAGGGTTTGTGGCCTTCAGGCTGGGAAATTTTCAAATCGACATCTATTAGAGACGGTACCTCTTATCAGTATTTCGAGGAGGGGGATACCCTAGCACCGGCCCTGACTTTGGATGGTTTGAATATCACTGTGAAAGTTGTATCGAAAAGCCAGCTTGGATAAACTCAAAAATTAGAGCTGCATTCCTTTTAGCATGAGTGTGATTATCACTAACCAATCTTGCATGTCTTTCTTCAGGTGTTTCCTCAGGTGTTTCCAAAGATCTTGCTCTTCTATGGTTTGCTGGATCGTTTAGTCTTCTAGGTGGTGCCTCTTCTGGTGTTTCTTCAGCTCTTCCCCTTCTTTTGCCTTAGAGCTATGGTCTTTGGATTTTTCCATGGCATTTTGAAGAAATAAATTTGAATTCCTCAATTCACTATATGGAACATTAAAACCATACTTTAACACTGATTCCGGCCAAAGTCTGATTTGGGCCGAAATTCCAATTCAGGCTGAAAACTGAGTTCTTCAAATCACAAACTCTGTGGATCTTCAAAACCCCCAGTCACGTATCCCCTCTCACTTTTACTCTGATTCCTTGGCATTTTGAAGAAATAAAATTCACAAAGTTTTGGAAATATTTTAAACTGATTTAAAAAAAAACTCTTTTAAATTCTCAAAGTTTTTGTGTTACTTTAAACTCAATATAAATTAAAAACTTTTAAAATCAATCATTTTTTCAGTTATTTTAAAATTTGAATTTTTACCCACCCCTTATCTGGACAAAAATCCCAATGCTGGATGTTCAAGCACCAGGAGAAGGACAGAGTTTCAATTTCAGGATAATCCTGATTCCAAAAAAGGTATACTATATCTATATAGAGCAAGTATGGCCCGAATTAGAGGGCTTTCAGACACACCGATGGACAGACGGGCTTTGCCGTTTATTTATTTAGAAATAAGGTTCAATATAAGAGATGAAGTTCCGTTTTCATTTAGTCAGCCTAACGGCTTCCTTATAAAATGTCTGAGAATGATTTTGATAAACATGTAAATATTAACAAAATCCATAATTTTTTTTACTCCAATCAAATATCAGTCATCTACAAACATGTTCTGAGATTAAAATCTTTAAAAGATTTTGGTCGTATATAGCTATATCTATCTATCTATCTATCTATCTATCTATCTATCTATCTATATTAATTACTTTCTGCCAGCTTTTGGCAAGATCAGTCTGACTACTCTTAATACGACTCCTAAGGCCACTCAAGGTAGTAGGATACTGCTTGATGCTGATTGGCGTAAGAAGTGGATGTAAGAAGTGCAATTTATGAGGATATCTAGGAAAGAAAACGGTTATGTCTAAATTTGAGGAGGTTAAGATTATAGACATCGAGAAAGCATCCTCTCGTAAATCTGCTCCATGAAGTAGTGTTTATTGGGAAGAAGGTTTCCGAATGGAACTTCCTTTTCACTAAAAAGGGAAACATGGATGATTCGTCCTGTGTATATGGTATGGCGAGTTTTAGCTGTGGTCAGAACTGGGAGAACTACGGAATGTAGCTTGTCAGAACCTTTGCCATGGTAATCGCGACAGAGTAGCGAGATGCTTGCAACGTTTCCTCTTTGGGAAGGCGTTTGTATAGTGAAAAATAATTTATCACCCACAAAGCCGCGTAATCTCTCCAGAACTCTCGTGAGAATACAGACGATTGGGCTTTTCTTTCACTGGTCAAAGCAATTATTATAAATTGCTTCATGGAGGCTGAAAGTGCCGTTGAAAACGCTCGTAAAAAAGAAAAACGAATTCCTAGTTCTTTGCATTTCCTCTGCAATTTTAAGTCGAGCAAGATCTGCACGTCGTTAGCATCCCGCTGATGTAGCTTATCTGCATACCGTCATTTTAAACACATTCGCCTTCAATCCTAAATTCCTGGCTAAATTTTCTACTCGAATTCTCACCCCAAATCTTAACCTGTCGCGTCTGCTTTCTAAGAAGCATTTACATCTTTAGTGAACTTTCATAGATATATATGAACGAACAATACAAGACATTCACTCCCCACCAAATATATATATATATATATATATATATATATATATATATGTGTGTGTGTGTGTGTGTGTGTGTGTGTGTTTACAATCTCACTCTCCCACCCCACTACTACTAATAATAGACCGGTCTAACGATTTTACACCGATCTTAAATTTAAATTCATTTTTCATAAAAAGTTTCGCACATTGAGAAATCAGACAGAGATAGGATTTTTGCTAATAATATGATCTACAGCAGAATACACACCGTCCATAAAAACATCCGTCCGTGAGTAATTCTAATTTCTTTGTTTATTTCTCATTCCGTTGATGAAGGACACAGGCGTCTCCGAAAATTCCGGCCTTAAGACCTTTCTTTTCGTGCTTCATTTCTGTCATATGGTTAATAATTAATAAATGATTTTCGTACTGATTATATTGTTACACTTTCGTTTCTCTTTGTTTTAATAACTAACCTATCTATTTTACATATTATAAGAAGCCCACGGGGACCCTTTATCTGCATCTATAAATGGCATTCTGTTAGTTTGTCACCTTGTTACCTCATCCTGCAAACCGTTCGACCGATTGGCATGAAAATTCACACACAGATCGAAAATTTACGGCATTCGTACTTGACGTCTTTGGATGTTTTGATTGTTTCTGCGATTTTGGAAAAAATCGATAAAACCGATAGGAGGTCGAATATTAATTCGATAAAAATTCATCAGTTTTTCAGTGATAGTTTTCACAAATTACAAGTGATATCCACAAAACTCACGTTGAGCAATGTCCTTACTTATAGTTTTGAGGTGCTGTTCTTTGTTTTTAAAAATTGATATCAGTTATCGGAAAAAATCGATAAAATCGATCAATTTGGGATATCCGATTCAAGTCCAGTCTAGCTGATTTTGGGCTATATTTTTCGCAAATGGCGAAGAATTTTCAGCAAAATTCCCGTTGAGCATAGTATTTACCGACAGTATTGAGGTGCTGACTTTCGTTTTCATTATCGGTTTAAATTATCGGATAAAAATCGATGAAATCATACCCCTTCTGACTTCCCATTCAATTCGAGTTTACCTGAATTTGACGATGTTTTTCGCAACTTTCATGGGATTTTGTTTAACTTTATCGGCTTTAGTCGTGACATTTAAAAACTTTTGTCCTCTGAGCTCCTTTGTGACCAACACATACTTGAGGGAAGTCGATACAATCATGTCTTCATCGGAATTTGCGAATACACCAATCAAACGTATGTTTAACTGAGACGTCTACACTACAGACTCTACAGCTGATTGTTATTCACACACGACTGACTATGCTTCACATAGCGGTATCTCATTGGCTGAGTGCAATACGCGGTCGCTGATTGATGTTCGAGACCCTAGGACGCTCGCTGATTGGCGCAACCGACTGGCCAGTAATACTTCGCATTTGAACCTACTGTGAACAGCTGTGGGAAGAAGGTCTCACTTCTGCTCCTGTTACACCGCCATCCGGTTGATACAATAGGCTCCTTCAACTTCTTACCTTTTTGTTTTCCGTTTGTCTGTTTAACTACATTTTTCCAACTACCATAAACAATTTATTCAGCTGTTTTACTTAAATACATGCCTTCCAGGTTCTGGCTCACGCTTTGCGAAACTAAGTTAGACTTTGTACTCCTGAAATTGAGCAACCCTAATCAACCACTACTAGCATAATTTTTCCCAATGCCGCCAAAAAGGAGGGTACATCTTAGCCTTCGGTCTGCAAGAGCGTCCGCTGTGACGGCAAGAAGGGCCCGCGAGTCCCAGGAGCAGACTACAATGCGACTATCACAGGCTTTGCACTCACAAGAGGAACGTGCCACCTGTTTGGCTGGGAAAGCTGTCAACAGGGCTTCGTTGCGATCAAGGCTCAAGAATGCACAACGGTCGAGAATGAACGCACAGGCTGCTGTAACCGCCTCAGCATCTCGGGCTTCCGAGACTCATCATCAAAGGCTTCTTCGTAACGTAAGAAACACTGCTGCCACTGCGAAATCAAGGGCAATAGAGACACTTGACCGCGGCCGCGCCCGTCAACCCAGGGACGCTGCTGTAACAGCGAGCGCTAGGTCTGTTCGAAATGCTAGAAATACTGCCACCACTGCTAGGTCGATGGCAGCTGAAACATTCGACCGCAGGCGCGCTCGTCAATCCAGGGACGCTGCTGCAACAGCGAGCGCTAGGGCTGCTGAGACACCGCTACGTAGGTCTGTTCGAAATGCTAAGAATGCTGCCACCACTGCCAGGTCGAGGGCAGCTGAAACATTTGACCGCAGGCGCGCCCATCAATCCGGGGACGCTGCTGCAACAGCTAGGTCGAGGGAATCCGAGACAGAGTTGCAGCGGGCAACCCGCAATGCCCGCAATGCCCGCAACGCTGCAGCGACTTCTGTTGCCAGAAACCCCGAGGGCCCACAGACAATGTCAAACAGACTTTCAAGGGTTGCTACAAACATGGCCGCTGTGCGCTTATCTCAAACTCCCTAAGCTCGTCGCATACGCTTCGACGGCGACATTCAGCGCCTTGCGACTACCCATGATGTTACCTGTCTCAGTAGCTCTTTTTGGTTATTCTTGGCTTTCAATTACGACTCCGGCATTAACTTAACTACGCGTGACGACATCAATGTAGGGTCCATGACCTGCGTTTGCCAATTATGCAACGCCTACAAATGGGCCAGAGAGCCTGCAGGTATGTGCTGCTCCTCCGGCAAAGTTCGACTGCTACCTCTGCATGAACCATCTACCCCGTTGAGGAGACTAATAGCCGGCTCCCATCCCGACTCCAAGCACTTCCTTAAAACAATTAGACAATACAACAACTTCTTTCAAATGACCTCATTTGGGGCTCAGGTGGTTCGAGAAGAGGGTTGGATGCTCAGTTTCAAAATACAGGGGCAGGTATACCACCGCATTGGGTCTCTGCTACCTGAGGAGACCTCTACCCCTAAATTCCTTCAACTGTACTTTATTGCAGACTACAACCTACAGGCCGAAATCCAGATTGGTATTTTACCGCTGTCGGGAAGAGTTTCTCGCAGGGACGTCATACTACTACTACTACAGGCCATGCTTCACGGGGTTAACAGCTACATTCGCAGTTTCAAATATGCCTTGGAAAATGCTCCCTTTCCTTCCTTCAGCATTGTAATTGACGCTGACAAACGGCCTCATGATGAACACGAACGCCGCTACAATGCTCCTGCGTGCAACAAAGTGGCCGCTATTATACATGGGGAGCAAGACAGCGATACTGTCCACAAATCAAGAGACGGCGCTCTTCACAGGATTTCAGAGACCCATCGATCATATGACACATTGCAGTACCCTTTACATTTCCCTTATAGTGACGATGGCTACCATTTTGGCATTCCTCTTCATACTCCGGGTGGCCAACCTACAACGTCTTCCAAAGCCTTATCGTGCAAGGCCTTCTACTCATATCGTTTCATGGTTAGGGATGGAGACTTGAACCTGCTTCATAGATGCAGGGAGCTTTTCCACTAGTTTGCGATTGACATGGTCACTAAGATGGAATCGGAGAGGCTTTGTTTTATACGGAATCATCAGAAAGAGCTGCGCTCAGACTCCTACGTATACTTACGCGACAGCCTTCGAAATGAAGTCAATCCCCGCGATCTAGGGAAGCTGTGCATTCTGCCCGCTACCTACACCGGGGGGCCGCGTTACATGCATGAACGCCGGAAGGACGCTATGACATACGTTAGGCACTATGGGCGGCCAAACTTATTTATAACGTTTACCTGCAACCCCAAATGGGTTAAGATAACGCGTGAACTCCTACCCGGACGGGATTACACTCACAGACATGACATTACCGCCCGCGTATTCCGCTTAAAATTGGGAAAACTTATGTACTTAATAGTGAAGAGGCGAGTCCTACAGTGAAAACTATTTTACATTGTCAAAATTAAAAAACTTGACAGATTATGAACGGGTGGCAGTCTTTGGGTAAGCACGGAGCAGCAACACAACAGCCACCTATTGCCAACGGTTGCCCTTGATTTCATTGATTTTGCTACCAGTGAGATTCCCGACCTATCAATGACCTCAACAACTGCGGATACGTGTGTAAGTTCATTAATTCAAACCCCAAAGCAATTCACTTGCATAAAACCCCGAGCAACGCCGGGCTTTACTGCTAGTATTCAATAAATCTTGTTAGAAAAATATGCGTCCTCCGGCATATTTCTCTAACAAGATTACTCAAATATTCAGGCCGGTAGATGTAAATAAATAAATATAGTTTTTAATAAATAAATAAAAACAGAGCATGTACTCAAATATGAGTACCCGTTTATAAAAAGAATAAAGTTTAAACAAATAGCTTAAAAATCTGTCGGATTACATACATTTCCTATATATATATATATATATATATATATATATATATATATATATATATATATGATAAAATATAGTTTTTATATATGCTATATTTATGGGCTAAAGTGCTCAGTGGTAGGGATAGAGCGTATGTAAATATAAAAGTGGAAATTGAGGTCAACACCGTGCGGCGTCAGACGGTTTTATACTTAAACCTTTCATGCTCATGGCCTGAAGATTTCGTTTAAGCATGAAACATATTGTCACCGCTGAGTGTTGGCCTCAATGTCCAAGGTTAGGGTTAACATCATCTTAGAAATATAGACAAATGCTCAAATTATAGTTTATAATTAAGGTTTTGATATGCAGCAAAGATGTTTCCACTGTTAGCCTTTTTGTTCTAGATATCGATATACGAGGTTGATCAAAAAGTATCGGGACTGGTACTATAAAAAGAAAACTACAACATATATCAATTCGGCACTTAATCTCCTTCGAAGTCGTCTCCTTTTGGAGTCACACACTTTATCCAGTATCGTTTTCATTGATGGAAACATTGCTGGAACTCCTTCACGATAGCGAGCAATTGCTTCGTCGCATTCTTTTGAATTTCCTTTGCCTATTGTAATCTTGTTCCTTTCAAGTGAAATTTTATTTTTGGAAAGAGGTAAAAGTCGCGAGAGCTCTGGGAAATATGGTAGTTTTAGAATCTGGGGATGTTGTTTTTCTTGGCCAAAAACTGTTGTACAAAAAACGCTGAATGGATAGGTGCCGTTTTCAAAAAGTTTTATATTCTGTGGTGAAACGACCACATTCTACACACTTTCCTTCCAAGCACCTCTATAAACAACGGAAGTGAGCGAGAACATTATAATTTTGTGTAAATTCGTGACAGAGTTCAAAGTCAATCTCTGCCAAGCAGCTTCACTCTGAGTACTTTAAATCCGTTACCATAGTAATAGACTCCGATGCCTTTTGATCAGACATCGTATGTATACTTGTGAACTTTAAATCTTTCAAAGGTTTTTTTGTTATCTTTGGATTTTATTAAATATAATTTTGAACAATTTTCGTCCCTTTTGGATATTTTTTTTATTTCTGACTTAATAATAATATTATACACCATTGTGCAAATTAACTGAAACAATCGCTTTAGTTTTCTTTCTTTCACCTTACAGTCAGTTTTAAACCCAATGTTTATAAATATTCTTTGGACTAACTGTGAAAGTCAAGGTAAACTATGGAGGAGGCTAAGTGGTGTAATTTAATGCTTAATACACGAAAGTGAGTAAATATTGTTATTGTTGTTGTTGAAATTTTATATTTTTATAATCTAATTCTTATTTATTATATGTTTTTAATTTAATAAAATATGTATTTACACCTTTGTGCAAATTAATTGAAACAGCCATCTTAGTTTTCTTTCTTTCAATATACAGCCAATTTTAGACCCACTGCAGTGACAGGGTGTAATTGATTTCTATTTTTTCTTCAGGTTAGGTCAACTGCAGTGGTGTGCAGTAATATGAATCTGTTTTCGGGGTGTATCATCACACCCAGACACTGTTGTCTCGATTGTCGATTAGTTGTCTTACGGCCATTGTCTGCGATGGACGTTACTCCAAAGAAGCATACGAAAATTGTAACGCTGAACGAAAACAGTGGCAAGCTTTATCAGTGAGTAAATCAAAGTACTATCGACTGGCTAGTTTGTGGTCAATCGGCAAGGAAAGACTTCGTGGAATGGATATACAAAGTACTAACATATGCATTGGGTCATGTCTCATTGAAAAAATATGAAGAAAATAAATAGTAACGGAATTATTCGTTTTGTTTTAATTATTTTGCACAAGGGTGTAGTTTCAATAGACTTAAGCCTTTTAAATAACGACTGCACAAATAATGTAGAAACTTGAAGTTATTAGGAAATATCAGCAAATATAGGTACAGTGTTGAAAAATAACAACTCAAATTCTAATCATCTCATTGTATTCTTTAGATTTTCCTTATTGTCGCTTACGCAATTCTTTTTGTTTTGTTCGATAGTTATCAGTTGATAGTTTCTAAGGAAAGTATTAAGAAAACAGGAACATTTCGTTAGAAACTGTTATGCAATACAATCCTCTCATATGGCAATGAATGATGAAGAATCTCTTGACAGATGAAAAAGCGAAGCAATAAAGATTTGGTTCTACAGAAGCATTTTGAGAATACCATGGACTGAGCGTGTGAGTAACGAGAAAGTTTGAAGAAAAATCGGAATAATAAAGACGATTATACTTAGAATCAGAAAAAGGCGGTTCAAATTTATTGGACACATAATGTGGAAAGAAGGCTTGGGGAATTTGATACTGATAGGACGTATTGAAAGCAAAGAGGACAGAGGGGAAACGAGTGAGTAACCGACCTAACTAAATGTATGGTAGAACAGGGAGTAGAAGGAATAGTGAAGAGACAATCCTTAAAGTTACAAAGGATAGGAAATTGTGGAGTGCCATGATCGCCCAAACCCTGAAAGGAGATGGTACATAGAACACATTGGTGGACGGTGCGGGCACATTTCTCACAGTGCTTTCACTATAGAAGTTTTGTCATTTTGATATTGATTGTAGTATAAAACTTGAACAACTCATATTGAAATTGCTTCAATAGACTCAGTGGTTTCAATGACGCTGGGAGCGGACTTTAACATCCATATCAAGTTCCTTCCTGTTTATAGAATTTATATTATAATTATTTGCAAGTAAAGAAACAAAATAGAGGAACTACTCTGTAATTAACTAAATTCGTACTACATTTAAAATTTAAAGTTAACTTTTAATCGTTTAAATTGCATGAGCCTGCATCGAATATGGTTTCTCACATCATAAAATTCAGACGTACTCTCAAACCCACATTAGCCAAAGATAAGATCTAACAACTTACATAATAATAATAATAATAATAATAATAATAATAATAATGAAAAACTGTGTTAAACCGAAATACAGATTCTGTAATAAATCTCCAGAAACAATTAACCATCTTGTATCAGGTTGCACGGTGTTAGCACTCACTGAATATAAGACTCGGCATGACAGAGTGGGCCATATCTGCACTTGAAAATCTGCAACTTTTAACGGGAAGGAAACTGCAAGAAACTGGTATGGACATCAGCCAGGCCTGGTTACAGACATAGAACCTGTCATAATTTTATGAGACTCTACAATACACACAGACAGACCAATTACCAGTTCCCAGGCATCGTGATTAAAGACAACAAAAACAGAATGTGCTTCCTTATTAACAAGTAAGTTCCTGCCGATTGTAATGTATCTTTGAAGATCTTCAAAAAACTATCAAAAAACAAGAATCTTGAAGTGGAAATCTCAAAAGATGTGACACATGAGGACATCAATAATTCCAATTGTATTTGGAGCCCTCGGTTTGATTAGAAAGGTTTCCGATAAACTCATTTAAGTGATTCTTGATAGTCCATGCCTTAAAGAAATACAAGGACTTGTACTCACAAGTACAGCCCACATATTAAGGATAGCTTTATCTATGTAAAGTGTGTGATTTTAGTTTTTTTTTTGTATTTTTTACAAAAATGATCAGTTGAAAATATCATGAAGCCATTTCTGACCTTAGATCTCAGATTGGGACCCGGAAAAAGATCAAAGGAAATAATAATAATATTAATGATAACCCAAACATGTTCGCTAATGCTCGCAGGGACATCGTGCGATACAAAAGACTATCAAATGTAGAAATAGATCTGATACAAGTAAATATAAGACAGAATACAATAACCCATCACACAAACAATAAAAAGATGAGAGAGGAAATAAATAATATGGCAGAGGATAAGGCAAAAATTAAAATAAATGAGATACGAAATAACAGTCTCCCAGGAAATAAAACCCAAGAATCTACCTGCGACATAAATTGTAGTTATCCAGATTATGTCACTGAAAATGAGTCAAACGACATTCGAGCAGAATTCCTTGAAAACAACAGAGGTGAAATCACCGAAGGGAAAACCACATCATCTAGTTACTCAGAAGAGTAACTAGCACACAAATGTCAGACAGAGACCAGCTCCCCAAAAATTCATATGATAAAGACCAATAAACACATTGTGCAAATATACGACGCTGCACTGCAAACACTTTTAACGG